GGAAAGATGTGTTGCTGCACATCTCAGATTTTCAGGAAACTGAACATTTGTGGTTTGCAAATCTGACCTGAATTGCATCAGTGCTTTTCTAACTGCTCATGAGCTGATTTTGCACGGACCTAGAGCTGCACCTACCTATGCAAGAATAAAGAGCATGTCACAGACTGAATTCAAATTTGGGTGTTATGTGTACAGACACCCAACAATTTGGTGCTGTCCTTCCACAGCCACATAACCACCTGCACGTAACACTCAGCTGCTGAACAGCATCTGGCCAGTTAAATAAAGATGGGGCCACAGACATTTTCCTTTGGTTGGGTTGGGTTGGAAGAGACCTTAAAGCTCATTGAGTTCCAACTCCTGCCATGGGCAGGGACACTTTCCACCAGCCCAGGTTGCTTCAAGCCCTGTCCAACCTGGCCTGGAACACTCCCCGGGATGGAGCAGCCACAGCTTCTCTGGGCAACCTCTGCCAGTGCCTCCCCACCCTCACAGCCAAGAATTCCTTCCCAATATTCCATCCATCCCTGCCCTCTGGCAGTGGGAAGCCATTCCCCCTAGTCCTGTCATTACAAACCCTTGTCCCAAGTCCCTCTCCAGCTCTCTTGGAGCTCCCCTAGACACTGGAAGGGGCTCTAAGGTCTCCCTGGAGCCTTCTCTGCTCCAGGCTGACACCCCCAGCTCTCCCAGCCTGGCTCCAGAGCAGCTCACAGAGATTTCAGGGCTGTCAGTGCACATCTGCTCCTCAACATCTGCTTGCAGGAGCCTTACTGGACAGACAGCTCAGTCCTTTTGGGTTCAAGACAGACATTTTCCACTTACATTATGAATACACATTAAGTTAAATAGAAGACATGTTTATAGTGACACTCATCACATCAAACAACCAGCTCCCAACAGCTTTCCAAAATCAAAGGAAAGGAAGAATCAGGTCAATTGTTGCCCAAGAAGCTGTCTCATATCTTTTATTTCCCTTCTGTTGTGCAGTTTCACATCAGATTTCTTCTAAAAGTGTGAATTAATTCGCTTACTAACCCTTAGGGATAAAATGTCCTTGATCCAAATGGCTGAAAATTAGAAATATCTGTTAAAATGAAGGCTTTTAGCAAACTCATTTGCTTAAGAAATGCCAACAGAGTTAAATGAATTGAAAAACATCATGGAAAAAAATCTGTATTACTGAAGGAATGTAAGAGAGGATTCACTAACAGACGCATTTACTTTGATAAGGAGATTTTCCTCACAGGACAAAGAACATGGAAAAAATGCAGAGATGGTGTAAAGCAGAGAAGCAGGTGACAGACACCAACCTGACAACCAGAACAAATGGGATGGAAACAAGGTGGGGATGGTTGAGGAGCCTGGGCACAGGGTTCATGTCCAGCATGATGGAAAGTGGGAGTGGAACCACCAGTCAAGAGGCTGAATGGATCTGAGAGAGGTCTATGACTGTATGAGTCGAGGCAGAAACCAATGGCCTTGGAGCCGTGCAGTAAGTGGAGATGGAAAACACCTGAATTCCTTGAATTATTTAGCTAGAAGCAGGAAGAGACATTGCCCAGAAGGGCAGTTCCTCGCTCAGATCAAGATGATGCTCAGATTACATGCAGGATCAAGAGAGAGATTTTCAACAACCCCCAAGTTCTCCACAAAGATTTCACTGAAGCGCTCTACTCCCACCCTGGCCACATGGTTCCTACCAAACATCAGCCAAGTCACTCAATATTTAGTGCAGCTGGTTGGGTTTTTTTTCCTTTTAAATACCTGAATTGTGTCTCATGAAACTCAGGAGAACTGAAAAATAATACATGAAAAAAATGCCCAGAGTCTGGAGCTTAGGGGGCACTTAGGGCAGAACAACAGCAACCCACATCATGTGCTATTGCTTTGCTATCATTAAAACCCCATTTTTCCACCTCTCATCTCTGTGCCTGCTGTATTTTACCTTGTTAGGAAGAAGATCACTGTGGCTGAAGAGATGCCCAATGTGCAAGACAGATGTGAATCAAACCAGCCCAGCCATCCCAGATACCACTGATGGCTCTATTGCTCCCAGTCTTTTCCTACTCCCTTTTCCAAGGGTCCTTACCACTGCATTTGACTAGCTACATGACTCTGACTTGGCCAACTTGCTGTTAGCACATCCTACACTGTGATTTCTCTGCAAAGCCATGAACTGCTGCTGGCTCCATTACTGCACCATCTCGCTCCCGATAAAAACATTGGCAGCTGTTTTGGACAACAACCCAAGACCTCAGAACACAACTGCAGCCTTTCATGTCCATTCAGCCTTCTTCCTGAATTGATCTACAGCTTAAAGCTTCTAAACCGTGGCCCAAATTACGCAGCTGTTTCAAACACTGCATTAAAATACCATCCAGCTGCTATAAAAGGAAAAATGAATGGTTCCAGGAGGCAGCTCTGCGGCAGATGAGCCAGCGTGGCTCAGAAGATAAGAGGCAGCTGCCAGAGGTAAATAGAAGCATTATTTATGGCTATGGTGTCCTTGCTCATTGAAATTTCGACAGGAGATGCAGCCTGAGAACAGACGAGCAGTTCTCCCGCAGGGTCCACAGTGGAGCTCACATTTGCTACTGGTGCCACAGCCAGGACAGGCTGCAACAACAAAGCAGAGCTGGATTTTCCCTTCAAAAGCTGATCTCTCCTTGATTGCCTTCTCCTAAATTTCAGAAACACCAGTAGCTCCAGCAACATGGGAACATATCCTAAAGCTAAGACCACAGTCAGACACAACACAATCCTGTTTTGAGAGCCACTGCAGCAAAATCTTTTCCAGACAAACTTTTCTGAAATTTTCTATGAAAGGGCCTCAAGCATCTGAAAAATAAAGTAGCTGCTCTATACATCTGAAAAGTTATGAGTTATAAAGGTTGTGGTGGGACAGTCGTGTCTGCAAATCCTCAAAACCTCAACCACTCCATCCACGTGAGCCAACTATAATGGTCTTTTGTTAAATATACAGGAAGAATAACCAGCCCACTGGCTCCCAACGGTCAAATGAGTCATGAGTGGGGATTATCAGACATCAAAAGGCTTTGTAATGCCCCAAAATGTCAACTGAATCCCACCCTTCCTGATTCAGATGGATCTGAATTTAAGTCACCTCCCCTGCTCCCTGAGCCAGAAGAAGGCCAGGAGAAGGTCTCTCATCATGGGGAGGTTCCAGTTACAGCATCTCAAATTCTGCTCTGTCAAGCATGAGCAAGTCAGCAGGGAACCTGCCACCAGAGCAAGGTCATGGGGGAATAAAATCTGGTGGTCAGGATGCTAACCTTGTAAAGGAAGGTGAATCAGAAGGATGGGTGGTACCTTTTTGTAAGACTGCTCATGGCTTCTTCAGAGATTACATCGACCATTCCCAAGGAGCTTTGTGCTCTTTTGTCTTGCCCTACAGTCACCACACCCTGATCTTTCACTTCTACTAGATATTGGGAACAAACATTTGTCAGTGACCACCTGAGATTTGTTAGCAGCAGCAGCAATAAAACCATTTTGGAAAGCAGCTGAGAAACTCATGTTCAGCCATTTTAGACAGCAAGAGGGTTCTTAGATCTCAACAGAAGGACCATCTATGTAGACTGTTTCCAGCTGTTTCCATACAAAGCCTGGTGGCCCAGTTTAATCCAACCTGCCAAGTTTGGCAGGGAGGTGGATGAAGGCACATTATTGCAAGCTGTTCCATCTTCCAGCAGAAGGGAGGAGATAGCACTTAGTGCCATGGTCTAGTAACCACGATAGGGTTGACTTGATGATCTTGGAAGTCTTTTCCAACCTGGTTGAATCTATGTATGTTTAAACTTTTCTAGCCATTTCTTAAGTCTGTGCTCAAGATGCAGGAAAAAAACCAGAAACACCAGATCCACTATTTGCCCATCACAAAGACACAGGAAGAGCCTCTGTGTGCCCTGTGTCAGGAGAGATTCAAGTCTTGCACAAAGGTCACACTTAAACTTCAAAAGATTAAAGCTCAGTAATGGTTACTGAGCTTAAACACAATCTCTAAAGGGGAGAAAAGACACTTTAATTTTTTTTCTTGGAAAAAAGAATCAAAATAGCTACAGCTGACCCCAATGACAACACAACATGTGTTCACTATTTGGGACACAACAGATTGCTCTCTGAGACATTACTCAAGATGCTACAAATTCTCACACAACCATGTGACAACAAGGGGGAATGGAGAGACCAAGTGTGGTGTGATGCTCAATGTTCTTATACTGGGGGGGATACAAGAACACTAGAGGCAGAAACAACCAAGACAAGTAGCTCAGCAGAACAGAGCTTATATACTTTGGAGACTACAGGAAGAACACAGAGGTGTTCCTGTTTACCAGTTACAGGCTGTAATTCAGAATTCCTGGGAATCACATGTTTAGAAAAAAAGTGTTTGCTGACATTGTAGTCATGAGACAGCCCATTATAGAGAAGACAAACATTTCACATGGTGCCAGCCCCATGGTTAGCAGCACAGACTCGTGGCTGCTCCAAAGCTCCATGCAAGGACCCAGATTGTGAGAGGTGTCAGGAAAGACTACTGGGAATCTCCTACAGAGATCTCTAGCTCCTGCCACACAAGAACCATCCTTAGCATAGTCACTTAGGAACCCACTAAAAATTGCCTGGCTGTCCTGGGTCACTACTCTGCTGTGGGAGGAATTGGTACTACAACTTAAGGAATGACATAGGAAGACTGACACCTGTATCAGATACACTCAGCAAAGCACAGTTCTGTCTTGGAGAACTCCCACACAACCAGAAGTCATTACACCAGTTCAAAACCACCAGAATAAAGTGCAAACCTGCTTTCCAGGAACAGCACAGAAGTCAAGTCAATCATTTTCTAGATTCATAACCATTAGCTTCTCCTCAGTCATTTTAACATAAGTGAATAAAAACCGAAGCTCTGAGTGTACAACTCAAAGCACTGAAAACCACCCCAAAAGTTGCCTTTTTAATAATAATAAACATCATGTACTGACCTCTGCCAGTTTGTAGGGTAGTATCAGCTTCTCCCCTACTGTCACTGTCTTTCTGGTAACCAGGGCCTCAAACAGCATCTCCTCTTTCACCTAGAACAAAAACACTGATGTTAATGATTATTCTAGGAACAAACTTTTCAAAATCCAGTTAAAAAAAACCCAAAACACTTAAACTTCAGACATTTAAAATTCAGTGTAAACATTCTCAAATATGTAAATTTAATTTAAACAGCGTCATTAAAACACTTTTGCCAGTTCTGGCAGAGTTAAATGGGTGAGAACAAGGCAGCCGTTGGGAGGAGACAACTCAGCACATAAATCCAAAGTCAGAAACCAGACACCATGGTATTCAAGGGAACCTGATTTTCTGCATTCAGGCATCACATTTCGAGCAATTTCCCACTGGTTTCCTTCGTTAAGGGTGAGGCTCCTCCCTCCTACACTTTCTGTTGGCAAAAAAGTCAACTTTCTAGTGTTGGCAAGATGAAATCACACAAGTTACTCCACACTAAGCCAAACAGTGTCATCAGTTTAAGAGATACCCAGGTGGAGGAGAGGTGGGTTTCTTTGGTGATTTTCAGGATGGGGAGGAGTTAGGAGGAGGAAGAAACCTTTTGAGAAGCTCCTGATATTTACTCTGCTATGGGCACCTGGTATTTCCTCCCTAACAACACCAGTTCCTGGCAAGGCACCAACCTCTAATCAGCACTCACAGGAAAAAATCAGTTGGGTAAACACAGACACTTCAGCAAATAGGGTAAATGGTGCCGACAAATTAAGTGGTACCTGCCATGAATTGTTGGGAAAAAGTCTCTTTTCCAATCCCTTTCAAGCCCTTTGCATTTTGAAACCCCCTGGAGAAAGTCCAAGCCATGTCATTGCTACCAGAACACATAAGTTAGACCTAAATACTGTGAGTTGTTGACTGATCTTTGCTAAATTTCCATGTCAAAAACGAAATTGTTCATCTGGACGAAAATCTTGGAGCCCAGAATTAGTGGATATGGATTGATACACAGATGGTGTTGTTTGAGAAGCTGCACTGAAGTCTCTACAAGCTGTTTATCCTACCTGAAGGACTCTGTGCAGACATCAGACCTGCACAGAACATCCCTCATGCAGTACCAAATCCACATTCCTGAAGCCACCCAAGGCCGTATTTTTATTGCAGGGAAAGCATTTATGATTTTAAGTGGATAATAGGAAACTTAGTGGTTTAACAACTGGACTCAATGAGCCTAGAGGCCTTTTCCAACCAAAACAATTCTATGATTCCATGTGCTTTGACTTACTGGTCTAATCCAGGGATTAGTATGAAGAGGAAATGCAAACAAGCTAGTGGAACATATCTCCCAAACAAACCATGGCAATGATGATGCTATTCTGTCCTGATGCTATCAAAACCAGAACCATGGGAGTCTCCCTGATAAACTCCAGTGCATTTTTATAAACTGACTTTTCCTGCTACACCCACGAACAAGAACTTGCTGCTGTGGTGTGGAAAGCAGAAAACATCAAGTCACCTGTATATGACCATCACCTCCTAGCAAGGTCTATAGCATTGGGAATCAAATGTCAACACTCTGAGGTTTGTCTCACCAGTGCTCAATACTGCTCTAGAGCCCTCAGTTCCTACAACACAATTTTACCTTTCAAAATCATGAGGGAAAAAACCCCAAACTATCCAGAATTCCACAGCAAAATTGCACATTTGGTTTCTATTCCTCTGCATTCACTGAAATATGTGATTGTTAAGGTTTCAGCTCCGCGGGCGAAGCGCAGACACTTCTCCAGCAATTTGCACCCACAGGACTGTCAGCTGCTCTCCCTCAGCTGCACAGCTTGGAACAAAAGTGAGTTTCACACCATCCCTTGTCCCACTTTGGGGGTGCTGCAAACCTACAGCCAGCACATCAGCTCTTTTTAATTACCCAAGGCAACAAGGCAGAGGCTATCAGATGGTTCCTAATCAGAACAATCCAATGAAATATTCCTGAATAACGTAAATGCTTCCAAGTCCCACATTTGTCAGCAAACACAGGGATTTTAAAGAACTACCCACACCATCCCATCTCATGTTCACCTCAGTTTCCTTCTCCCTTGCTCTCCTGATGGAGGAGAACTACAGATATGCATCCTTCATCTCCTGACCCAGAGGGATCACGTGGAATCATCTGCTCTCCTGATGGAGGAGACCTACAGATATGCATCCTTCATCTCCTGACCCAGAGGGATCACATGGAATCATCTTGTACAAACACAGACTTGGCAACAGTGGGAATGTAATCCCTGCAATGACCACCCAGTGCAGCTTGATCTTGATTGCTTTGTCACCTCTGAGTGCCAACACCACAGGTACAGCCAAATCATCCTGATTCTCATTTAAGGTCACAGTGTGAAGGCAGCTGACTCCTGGTGCCAGCAAGGAGCCACTGGAGCTTTCTAAAGATAAACCTGGCATGTGCTGATGACTAAGGACACCTGGTGCATGGAGATACTTGAAGCTCCTCCACTGCCTCCATCCTACACTTCCTCCCCCAGTAAGTGTGACACACTAAAATAGAGACAAAACCCATCAGAGTAGATTAGCAATGAGAACATCACTCACTTCTTGACTTTGTGCCCTGCGAGTTAACACTTCTAGGTCATGTTCCATGGATTTTTGCTTTATGGGGCTAAAGAGCATGTCCTGCTCTCTCTTTTAAAAAAAGCTCCATGGACTGTAGGAGTTTCTATCTTAATTACAGGGATAAAACGCAAATTTAAGACTTCACTGCCACATGCAAGTGGAACCAACACCGAGATGGCTGCATGACTTGAGCTCCACGACCCAGTGAAGGATGAGCAGCAGTGCTGCCATGGCTATGAACATCAGTGGAGCACAGCAGGCAGCAGACAGCCAGCAGCTCCCACAAGGGCTGGGCTGGAGCCAAAGCAGGCAGAGATTGCTTCTCCAGCAATGCTGGGTATTATGTTAGAGCAGCTGAAGGAAAATGAACCATTTCCAACTTGAGAGCAAGAAAACATCGTGTTTTGTCTCTCCTCCCACATTTGAGAAAGGGATTACAGTGCTGAGTGCTCGTTCTAAAGCTGCCTGGTGTGGAGTAACCGAATCCACTCAGATTTCCATCAGCTCTTCTTGGAAAAGATCTGAACCTTTGCCTCAGACTTTCTTTCAAATAACCAGAGAGTTCGAAAGGACCTGAAGGAATAGCATGGAGCTGTGTCAGAGAAGGCTGGGGATGGATATCAGGCAAAGGCTCTTCCCCCAGAGGGTGTCTGTGGACTGAACAGCTCCCCAGGGCAGTGGTCACGGCCCCAAGCCTGACAGAGCTCCAGGAGTGTTTGAACAATACTCTCAGGCACAGGGTGCATTGTTAAGGTGTCCTGGCCAGGGTCAGGAGTTGAATTTGATGATCCTTATTGGGTCCTTTCTAACTCAGGACATCCCACGATTCTATGAGGTTTTCTGACTCAAGTTCTGTCTTGGATCTTTGCATCCAGTGAAGATGAAGATAATCCTGTTCATCACAGAGGTGTTGGACCTGTGAACTTCAGAGGTCCCTTCCAACCCAAACCATTCTGCGATTCTACAAAACTCCATCCGGAAAAAGGATCCAGAAGAAAAGCCTGGATGCAAGCACCATCTGCTTCATAATCCACACCTCCCCAATTACTTTCCAAGATGTTTATTGCATGAGGAGCACAATGTCTGTGGGATCCCTCTGGGAAGCTGAAGACAATTTTTCAGTAGAAGAACTTGGGCACATAAATCTCCCATGGAGACAGCCATGAGCTCCACATGCTAACATCACCCATGCACAGGGACATCTTGCAAAACTAATTCAGGACACTTGGTAACATATTTATCTCTACTTGCATCAATGCTGGTCACCCTAAACCTAAATCCTGAATCCAATACTGCTCTACTGAGCCAAACAGAATCTGCTTCCTTCCTCAAAGCTCCATCTATGTCAATAAGTTCCTGTATTAGTAAATGCACATGATAAAGTGTTTCTGCTCTTCTCAGGAAAATAAAAGTCTGTCTTAAGGTCAACTAGATCATTTCTAATAGACTGTTTTTGTTAATGAGCCTTTCCGAGCTTTTTCTCCCAAAACAAGAGTTTTCCTCAGTTTTGCACAATCCTCTATGATTTCTGCAGAGGACTCCTGACATTTACAGCATTTGCACAGGACTCCACGTCTGCTTGATCCATCAGGCAGCCTTGACATCACTCTCCAGCACAGCATTTCAGCAAAGTTTAAACAAAGGCCATGATAAACCTGCCAAAAGCATCACATAATCCACACGCTATGTCTATTCCTGAAAAAAAAAAAAAAAAAGGAATCAGGGTTTTACTGTAAATGAAACAATGATCTGCAGAGTCTGGCCAAAATCCTATATTGCAGTTTGCTGTTTCAACAAATGCTGCTCTGGATGGTTTAATAAAGCAAAAACATATTGGATGGGGCTGTTGGGGTCTAAGAAAAAGCAAATCTATGGCAGATCATCATCTCCTCCCAGATTCCTTCAAAAAATCTGAATATTAGCTCCATTTTATAGGGACTTAAACCTCATTGTACAGAGGGAGGACAGAGGTTCAGTGCTGCTGCATTAACTGCTGCAGCAGGGAAATTGCCCCAGTTGTCCTTGGAGGTTCAGAGGTGTTGACATAAACCTGCTAGCTCAGGATAATTTGGGCCAGACTTCCCTTTGGAGAGGGCAAACACCTTGACCTTGTGCAATTTTCTCATTTCAGTCAGGCTGTTGGTTCCCATCCTGCCCTTGAAGGCAACTGCCCATTGAGTTGTGCAGGAGCAGCTGTGCATCCCCTCTTGGCCTCCAGGGATGGCCAACCCAGCTCCTGCTTCTCAGCACCTTTCCACCAAGTCCAGTCAGATTTTTGCCTTCTCTTTTCCATGTCAAATCCAGAACAAATCCAGTTAGTCATTTCACCCCAAAAAACCCAAACCAAAACATCCCCCAAAGCAAGGAAATATCAGATCACACAAAAATTGGTTTCTTCCACCACGTTGCTATGCTCAAGATGTCCCACCAAGTACCCAGTGGCTGTATGAAAGGAGTTCACCTCTTTGTCAACCAATATAATTTTCATTCTAAGATGATTTTTCAGTCTTAATGAGTATTGCCAAGATCTAGAGGGAGGATTAACAACTTTTTCATGCCAATTCATAATTTTAGCAATAATGGTGGGAAAAGAAAAACTGTTCATTGTTCAGTGACCACAAAAAAAGAGACCAAATTTAAAGTGTCTCATGTTTCAACCAGTATTTTTGGTCTCTGGCTGAGAAGAACTCATTACACTTAATTTGGACAGTTGTAAGCAGCCAATTAATGAAGTGTGGCGGGTGATCTTTGTAATGTCTCATCTGTTTGAACCTTTTGGTCCTCCCTCTTGGTCAAACCTGAATAAGCAACGATATCTGCAACGATATCTGCTCAGGTCTGCAAAGAGATATCTGGAATTCAGAAACTTGCAGAAGAATTACCAAGATGAACAGCAATCTCTCACTTCGCTCAGCTACGCCAGATCCTAGTGGGGTTTTCCAAATGGTGAAATACACATGTATTTATTTTTACCTCCTGGTGACACTACCCAGAGATGCAGCTCCAGACCATGGCACTAGGCCCTGTTGAATCGACATGACTCAATCAATGCATCATTTCACCTGTTTATGTGCTAAAACCTCACTCTGTCCACACATTGCAGAACAGTTTGTTTGCAAAGCCAGGGCAAAGACCCAAAGCCTGGAATTTTTTCAGGCCTCTAAGTCACTCAACTCATTCAAAGCTTGCTTAAAGTACAATTACTAAACTGACTTGGCCATTTGTAACAGGGTAAACCAAACAACATTCTCCTCCCAACTCCTATTTTCCTTCTGTTTGTTTCTTCAGCCTCCAAGGTCAAGATGCAAAGAGCATCCAGCTGCTCACACTCATGTTTTAAACAAGTTTTCCTCTCCCTAAATTAAGTACTATGAAAATCTGTGAGAGCCAATTCCCCAGTTCTTTAGGTAGGGAAACAACACAACTGTTATTTAATGGAAGGAATGGGAAGAGCATCACGTGTACACAAAATGACAAGTCATCTTCTGGGGCTATCATAGGGTTAGCAAAAATTAACCTTCCAGACCACCCAGGGAATACAAAGACATAAAGGTAATTGTAACCAACAACAAGGATACATCTCAGTATCCCTGGGAGTTCCAAGTGGTTTAGAGCACTACAAGAGAACTGAGAGAGCAATGAGAGCTTCCGGATATCCATTTCAAGAGGTGCATGAGCTCAGTTCTTGAATGCCCAAGGAAGCAGGACAAGTTGGCTCACTGAAATGAAAACTTATCTCCTGAAAAGAAATGCCATGGCTTCATCACCTGCTTGGACTGACAGAGCAGCTCTCCTAGGAGTTTACTCAGTGCTTTTGCACTGATTTACAGAACTGGATATAGCCCTGGGCTAGCCAGGCTGAGACCTCCAAACCCTTCCCAAATGGAACAGCTGTGACTCATAGAGCTCAGTGAAGGGTTTTAAACAGCAGATAAACAACAGATCCACTAAAGAACTCAAGAACAGGTCCATGAACAGGCCCTAAAGGGGTGAGGTGTGCCTTCCAGCATCTCTAATACAACCAGGGTGGATGCTGCAGAGTAAGGACTGACAGCAAAACATGGCGAGTGAGCTCAGCATCTCCAACAGCACCACCTGAACCAGCACATGGCTCTGATGGTCTCACAACATAAAAGCAGGACCAAAGACAACATCCTAGGAAGCTTAATATAGCCCTAACAGCATTTTCAGTCAATGAACCTGAAGCTGAAGAGTAGGGGGAAAATACTTCCATTAAAAAATCTTTCTAACTGTCCACAGGCAAACATGAACAGCCCAAGCAAAAGTAATGGAAGAGAACTTACTCTTCAGTGAAACTGAAAATAGTGTTACAAAGCAGAGATGGCTCATCAGGTGGGAAATTTCCTGAGGGAAAGTGAAGCCTTACCTCCAGCAGCTCCGACACAATCGGCAAAATTTCAGGGTTACAGATATCGATGGAGTCATCCCGGTAGGTCTTCTTTTTGTAACGGATGTTCCCCAGGTGAAGTATTGCCGAGAGGAGAGAGAAAATCCTAGTGGAAAGAGAGAGAATTCCTTTTCACTCAGTTGGTTTTTTTCTGTAACTGAGACAAAGAAAAGATACTACACTTCAAGGAAAATTATCCTGCCATTTTTTCTAGTTTGGTGGGAATTTGATGATCTTTAAGTTATATCCTCCTCCAAAAAAATAGGACCATAGAATCATAAAGCATCTTGAGAGTCCAACTCTTGAGCTGGGCTCAGGTGTTCTTTGATGCTATCAAGTCATGGCTGACTTCAGGTATAAATCCTGTTTGGCCCTATTCCTGCACTCTCCAGGAAGCTAGAAATGAGTAAAACCAGATTTGATTCTTAGCCATGCCACCAGCTTGTCTGGACAACACACCATCACCTCTCCAAGCCAGCTACTCCTTATCTCCAAAACATGGATACTGATTCCCCAGCATGAATTACAGAGATGCAATTACAGAATCACAGCATCAGTTAGGTTGGAAGGAACCACAATGGCTCATCTGGTCCAACCTCCCTATTCAAGCAGGGTCATCCCAGAGCATATGGCTCAGGATTACTTCCAGATGGTTCTTGAATACCTCCAGTGAGGGAGAATCCATGACCTCTCCAGGCAATCTGTTCAGTGCTCAGTGACTGCACAGCAAAGAAGTTCTTCCTTGTATTCAGGTGGAACTTCCTGTGCATCAGTTTCTGCTGTTGCCTCTTGTTTTATTGGTTTCCACCAATAAGAAGAGTCTGGATCCATCTACTTGTCACTTCCCATTCATGTACTTGTATATATTAATGAGGTTCCCTCTCAGTCATCTCTTCTCGAGACTGAACAACTCCATCAGCCTTTTCTCAATTAGAAAAACTCCTCTGTTTCCACAAAGGTGAAGCCCCTTGCTTTGCTATAAAAAAATTATTTATAGAGGCACAGGAACAGTTAAAATGTCCTTCCTACTCAGCTGAAGGTGGTTCCTCATTCATGTTACAGACAACAAGAAGCAAAATAAATTTGCTATTATAGCCAAGAACCCACTTTATTTTGTACAAGAAAAAGCACCAAGAGAAATACAAGGCCTTGTGTGCCAAGAAAAATCATTGCACAGTAAATCAGAAGTGTCAATTTACTGTGACTTCTGACTCTGCTCAGTCCTGACACTTACTGATTACTTTACTCCAGCAATTAAACTCCTCACTGCATCCACAACAGGCTTAAGACAAACCCTGTCACTGCAACCTGCTTAGAAAAATCATGGACATAGAACATCTTCACACTGGACGTGCATGTTCTTGAGCTTATCCATGTGTGGGGAACAGCTAGAGAAACAGCACCTTTAATTTCATAATTGATTTGTTACAAGTGAGGGAAAAAGGACGAGCTTGTGAAAATTGTCAGTTGGGTGAAAATGTCGTGGATGCAATTTTTTATGTCAAATTCATCCCAACCTACTCAAGATTTTCAAGGCAACAATCAACATGAGAGGAATTATTTTGTGGGTTTGGTTGAAGATGGCAGTCATAATTCATAGAATCAGCTAGGTTGGAAAAGACCTCCAAGACCAGCAAGTCCAACCCTACCGTGGTTACTAGACCATGGCACTAAGTGCCACATCCAGTCTCATCTTAAAAACCTCCAGGGATGGTGAATCCACCACCTCCCTGGGCAGCACATTCCAATGCCTGAGCACTCTCTCCATAAAAAATCTCTTCCACCCTAACCCTCCCCTGGCAGAGCTTGAGTCTGTGCCCTCTTGTCCTGCTGCTGGTTGCCTGGGAGAAGAGACCAACCCCCACCTGACTCCAATCTCCTGTCAGGGAGTTGTAGAGGGTGATTCCCTGCAGTTGGTGGAAGGTGCTGTACTGCAGTCTAACTAAGCAGCCTAGTTTTCCAACCAGTTTTCCCACTGAATTAGGGGAAAAAAAGGCCAGTTGGAAACAAGTCTACCAACCTACAATTGCATGCAAAGGGTTAAGTATGATGACTGATAATCAGGACTTCTGATTATACCAGGATCTGGATTCATCACATGCAGAGCAAGGCATGACTATTCATGAACAGTTGAAAAATACTTGAAGATGTCAACTTCTGCCAATGCTGCATTTGCATGAATAGAATCCTTAACTACAGTGATGATCACAGAATCCCAGAATGGTTTGCGTTGGAAAAGACCTGATGCTCAACTTGTTCCACCCCCTGGCATGGGCAGGGACACCTTCCACCAGCCCAGGTTGCTTCAAGTCCCATCCAACCTGGCCTGGAACACTTCCAGGGATGGAGCAGCCACAGCTTCTCTGAGCAACATTCTTTCAATGCTTCACCAATTCCTTCACACCAGCAGAGCATGACTGTTACATTAGCTCACATCAGGTGAATTATCTCATGGATTATGGAGGTGACATTAATTAATACAATCTTCAAGCCATTAATATGGACAACAAACTCACTGTCTGCGTGTCTTGGGCAGGAATCCCACCATCTCCATGGCTAGCTGTAACCGCTCAAAGTCATGCTTCAGGTCCTCCCCTTCCACGGAGAAACAATCCTGTCAGGAGCAAACACAACAAGTAAGTACTGAAAGAAATTAAGCTCTGAGCAGGTCCAGATGGCCAAGCCAGCGCTCCATAAATACCATTTAGTGATCTCCATGTCTTTTATCAGCAACATTTCCATCCTGGCACTGGAAAAATAACATTTCTGGCTAATTTTTCCTGGAGATATATCCTTATTTCTGTGGCTTAGCCTCTAAAGCAAGAGATGAGTGGCACCACCCTGACAGTATGGGAGAGCTCATCAGTTTGCATACAAAAGGGATGTGAAATAATGAGAGGAAAGTTGTTACACATTTTCAGGCAGTTTATTCCACATTGAATCCTGGTCCATTACGAGTGCCTATAACTAAAGAGGAAAATGCAGTTTTTAAAACAAATACATTTAAATTTCATGTACATTATCAGGGAATTCAATCCTGTGTGGGAAAGGGAAAGCTTTAAATCTATTGTTCACAAACTTTATTGGAACCACCAAGAAGCTATGTAAAAATGCAGGCATTGGGAGAAATGGAAATCCAGATTTTACACTTCTTGGAGGCTCATGTGTCTGAACCTTTTGGTGTTTCAGGTAATTCCCAACCTGACATCAGTCACTGACGCTTTCAGAGACATCCAGGGACATTCTGGACCCAAATATTGTCCTGCTGCAATATTTAGGGAACATAAATGTTCCTTAAATGAGTATATAAACTACTAATGTCAAATTCCTTCTGCTTTGGCTCATCATGGGCCCCCATGGAGTATGGATTATTCTCTTTGGCTTCCTAGCCTATATTTAATACTTCCTCCATTTGCTGCCTATAAAAATTCCCAATCTCAGCACCACAATTAGTTTATCATTTATCACACAATATAGTGTTACCTTGAACCTCAGAATATTTTACTAACATTTACCTAGAGACTTTCTACAGGCAATTAAATGGAGACTTTCTACAATTAATCCAGGTATAAATAAATTTTTAAAAATCTATAAATTCTACAGAGTTCTGTATTTAAATATAAAGCAAATTGCCCACAGGGCAGGGGGTTGGGACTGGATGATCTCTAAGGTCCATTCCAACCCCTAAAATTCTATGGTTCTATAAAAAGATGACTAAAATAATATAAACAAAAAATCCTCTGGAGACTTTCTACAATTAATCCAGGTATAAATAAATTTTTAAAAATCTATAAATTCTACAGAGTTCTGTATTTAAATATAAAGCAAATTGCCCACAGGGCAGGGGGTTGGGACTGGATGATCTCTAAGGTCCATTCCAACCCCTAAAATTCTATGGTTCTATAAAAAGATGACTAAAATAATATAAACAAAAAATCCTCAGTCCCCTAAAATTCTATGGTTCTATAAAAAAATGACTAAAATAATATAAACAAAAAATTCTACCTGCAGTGGCAATTAATTAAACAGCTGCAGACATATAGTTTAATTTTTTTAATCATTTTTCTGCACATCATATTTATCACATGAGTAAACGTGCACAAAATTTTGCACAAATAACTTGAAAGTCTGGATTAAACAGGGTTCTGGGAACACTTGGAAAGACATTTGTACTCACTTCTAGTACAGAAAATAAACCATTAATCCAGAATATAGAAAATGATGTTGTTTTACAGCATCAGCTTTGTTTCTCATAGCATTTAAAGCCTCACAACTCTGTCAGCAATATGTTCTTCATCCTGCTCTGCAGTGTTGCTACAGCCAAGGTCACTGATTATAGGGGAAATCCTCAGTTAAAATCTTTATTAGTCTTATTTATAGATTGAAATAACATTGTTATTATTATAGATTATATTAGTTATATATTTAAACCCTTTATTGCCACATAGGAGACCCCACACAGCTGCTCTAGCCCCTTGACTAAAAGCTACAGAAGTGCAATGGGACAAGATTGAATTTTTTTATCAATTGTCCTCAGGGACAAGTTAATGCTCCATGGACAAAGTGAATTTGGAGCTGTTGAACAATCATTTAAAGCCACATGCAGCATCCATGAAGGCAGGGTTAGAAATTTCAGAAGAAAGTAACACACCCATGGTAGGAAATACTCATTAGAAAAATGACATGTTCACCACTTACGAGGAGAAGACTGAAAATTACCTTTTTTAGAGCTGTATGAGGTGTGTGTATTACCCAAAGGAACACAAAAGACATCTACACTCTACAGCAGGACAATCCCAGGGATTGGCAACGACACTATCTACACCATAAAACCTCAGGATAAGAAGTCGTCCCACCTAAACTCCAACCTTGGCTTCCTTGGCCACTACACCTACATCGAGGAGAACATGGACAATTAGAGAATCATTAAATCAACTAACCTGGTTGGAAAAGACCTCAAAGATCATTGAGTCCAACCCTACTGTGGTTACCAGATCATGACACTAAGTGCCACATCCAGTCTCATCTTGAAAACCTCTAGGGATGGTGAATCCACCACCTCCCTGGGCAGCACATTCCAATGCCTGAGCACTCTCTCCATAAAAAAATCTCTTCATAATGTCCAACTTAACCCTCCCCTGGCAGAGCTTGAGTTTGTGCCCTCTTGTCCTGCTGCTGGTTGCCTGGGAGAAGAGACCAACCCCCACCTGACTCCAACCTCCTGTCAGGGAGTTGTAGAGGGTGAGAAGGTCTCCCCTGAGCCTCCTCTTCTCCAGGCTGAACACCCCCAGCTCCCTCAGCCTCTCCTCATGGCACTGGTGCTCCAGTCCCTTCACCAGCCTCGTTGCTCTTCTCTGGACCTGCTCCAGCCCCTCAATGTCCCTCCTGAGCTGAGGGGCCCAGAGCTGAGCACAGGATTCAAGGTGTGGCCTCACCAGCACCGAGTGCAGGGGCAGAATCACCTCCTGGTCCTGCTGACCACACTGTTCCTGATCCAGCCCAGGATGCCATTGGCCTTCTTGGCCACCTGAGCACACTCCTGGCTCCTGTTCAGCTAGCTCCCTGTCTATCCAAACTGTGGGAGGTTTCCACACCCATTACAATGAGACGTGGCATCAGCAGGACAATCCTACACCCCCAAATTCTCCAAACTGGACTTTTTGAAAAGTTTTTGAGAGATCCCAAGTGGTGCCTTTAGTGGTACTCCACATTCCAAGAGACATTTCCATTGTCTGGCATCATTTCTCCAAAATTAAGCCACGAGCCAACAGCAAACGACCACTGACAACTCTGAAGTAGCACAATCTACGCCCAAGGCAATTTAATTAACGATTTACATAACAATTGCCTGACTCATTAATCCCCATGGAAAGGCTTTTAGCAAATTCTCCACTTAAAAGCAGATGCTCTCTGCAGTGTTCCAGCTTGGTACCGATTCCTAATGGATGATAAATGGATGATAATTATAAAAAAGAGGAGTTTCCCTGGTATTAGAGCAGACAGGCATTACAAAGTCCATCCCCACAGGCATTAATATTCTGCTGGAGCAATTAGTTTCCCAGCAGAAGTGAGTCCCCTGCTTCCTATCACCACATCGAAGCAATCCATGAATTTCCATGGAAAATTTAAAGAGGATAGAAGAGAGTTTCTTTATAGACCAACCATCTGCAGAGGACTGAGTCCATGATTATGGGGAGAGGTCCAGGGTAGGCCTAAGAGTGAAACATCAGTTGAGGCAAAGATGTGATTTACCATGAACATCACAGAAAATTACCCCAAGTGAAATGATCCCAAATAAAATACCAAATAAACAACCAAATTTTAACAGCACAGAGTTTTGCTGTGCAAGATCAGGACATAGACATGATAACCCCCAAGGTGGCAGGGCATTATTGGCCCCTCAGAAGAAGGTATCAAATTTGGAGGTTGCTCTAATTCCTCCAGTAAATTGTCCTAACCCATTCCTTAAGCAACGAAGAGCTTTACAATCTCTAAGTGTATTAAGGTATGTCAAGCAGCATCTGTTCATCACTCCCTGCTCCTGCAGGACCTCTAAGGATGCCAATCCAATATTTTTAACCTTGGGAGGGTAAGATTCCCTCTCCCTCCTCAGGATTCTGCAGGGAAATCTTGCTGTTAAGATACTTTTTTAGCCCAGGTAAATCCCAGCTCCTTCAGAGATTACCTCTTACTCTTCCAGATGTATCAGCAAGAGTTTGGCAACCATCAAGCACATGGCAAAGTTCGCAGGAACAACATGCAGCTGATCCCAAACATGCTCCCACATGCAGGACAGACCCAACAGAGGCACCACGGGACACACAAACACCCAACACATCGTTGGCTGAAGCCGCTGCCTCCAAGGGAAGGGGGAAAAGTTTCACCATTCCCTTTTTTGGGGCCGTCCATTTGGAAAGGATGATCATGTCAGCAGAAGTATTTTAGGAGAAGGAATTGTTTTTATTTTCTGAACAATATCAGGATTTGATTTTCTCACAGATGGTTGCGCGGGGATGTTTTGGGGTTTGTCTGGAATCTGGAGAGCAGATACACTGCTACAACTTTCATGAACTGATGCAGTTCTTGGGGCGTCAAGAGGCTCAGTTGCTGTTTGAATGGAAAAGATTTTCAATTTTCACACTGCTGCCACATGGCAATTTCCATAAGTCATCACAGATTATACCAAGCAGGAACAAAGACCCCCCCCTAAAATTAAGACGACCATGGAGAGCTGATCATATCCAACTGCTGAAGAAGCTTTCCAGATGGAAGGAACCAAAAAAGGGCAAGGGAAACACCCATCTGTATTGTCACAAGCAACACCACTGCAGGCAAGAGGAAGGGAAAGGATAATTAATAGGTTAAACTCAATTTGATTTGGCTTTCTGCTCAGGCCTTGGTGCCCCTGACAGATTCAAGTGAGAGCAGCCCTGCACCAGCAACACAGAAGACGCAGGTACTTGTACTGACCGGCTCAGAGTCATAGCAATAATCATCCCAGCTCTGTCTGAGGGGTTTCTTTGTCATCTGAAAGCAAGGCAGAGCGGGTTAAGTACTGTTCAGACCCCAAATAACCCCCCCCAACTACCTGCTCCCTAACCAGGGCGGCAACACTGAGTTTCCAAATAAAATAACTCTTCTAGTTTTGCTTAGTCAACCCTGACTTTTGTCTTTTTGAGGGCAAGGCTTGTAATGCTTTGGCATTCATGGTGCTGATTGCTGCTTCCAGTGTTTCAAGCCAGCAAGGACCTCCCATGAAATATACTGCAGGGATTTTAAAACATTTTCTTTTTCTCTGTGGTTTGGAGAAACCTTTGGATTACCTAGAGCTGAAGATCCATTAATGGGAAAATCCCACTGAAGAACAGATTTGTTTTGCTTCTACTCTTAACCTCTACTCCAGACACATGTAAGTGCTGCAAAAGTGTGATTATTCCAAGGAAATTCCTTTTTAGGGAGTTTGTATCTTCTTCCAATCAGACAGAGATGGAGTTGAGAGAAGTCAAGGCACATGTCAGTGACCAGTCCCAGGAGGGAGAGACACATGGCACCAGAGCTCCTAAGGAACTGAAAATCAGCATCTAATCTTGCAAATCACTAATTTGACAATGGATAAAGGTGAATAACCAGCACACAAAATACTCAGTGAGTTGCAGGGTCATAATGGAAGGTGTACCTGCCAGTGGGGTAAGAGATGGAGAACTCATCCAAACTCAGGGGGTTCTTGAAGTAAATTTGTGCTTAAAAATAAGTTTAGATCTTTATTTTCAACCTGCTTCCGCACTTAGAGATCAACACTCTGACAGCAGATTTTGGTGAGATACCTGAACAGATTATTTCTCAGCTGCAATGCAAACTGCACATTTGTTTTGTGTAACACAGTGTGAGCTGAGGAACCTGGGAGAAGGAAATAATGCCTGAGTCAAAGACTGAGTCATTCCTGGACTGGAGGGACCTGGTTCAATAGTTTATGGCTTCTCAATATTCCGATTTAATTTTCAGTAAAACACTTGGGTTCATTTCTGAGCTAGTTCTTTTTCCTTTTAAACAGCCAAGGAGTTCTCCAGGACATGTTTAAGAAGGGATTGTAAGTGCTCAAGGGTCATGTTATCATTAGATGTTTATCAAGTTTCTTTTTCCATTTCTCCACTACCTCTTTTTCCTTTCTTCTCTTCTTACTTTCCTTTTTCTCTTTGTCTAAAGGGCAGGGGAAAGCTGCTACTGCATTGTCAGAAGGTCTGAGTAAGAGACCATGCCCAAGGCAGACTTGACTGACCAGGAATCTTCTTTTGGAGGTGAGGCAAAAAAGGATGATGTATACTCAGTGGAAGCAATGTCAGGTGACATGAGAGGAATATAGAGATGCTGCTCACCACTGCAGGGAGAAAATTTGTGTGGCCAAAGCTCAATAGGAGCTGAGGCTGAGCAGTGCTGTGGGGGACAATAAAGAGTTTAATTAATGGCAAAAGGCAGTGCAGAAATGACATTGGCCCCTTACAGGCTGAGGATGGTCACCTCACAAACAGGGACACAGACAAGGCAGAGAGGGTTAATCCTTTCTTTGCCTCAGTCTTCAACACTGATGATGGACTGAGGGGGTCCCAGTGACCTGAGCAGCAGGACCATGATGAATTCCCTGTTGACCCTGTTGTTGTGAGGGACGTGCTGCTCCAGCTGGATCCCTATCAATCTATGGGGTTTGATGGGATTCACACAAGAACACTTAAGGAATCGGCAGATGTCATTGTGAGGCCTCTCTCGATAATTTTTGCATGGCCTTGGGAATCCAGAGAGGTCCCACTTGACTGGAAGCTGGCTAAGGTTGTCCCAATTTTCAGAAGGGGCAAGAAGGCTAAGAGGGATGTAAGCCCTATGGGAGCACTGGAAAACACCTGTAGGACAGTGCAGTCATTAGTCACAGCCAGTATGGCTTCATGAGGGCAAAGTCCTGACTGTCAAGTCTGATTACCTTCTATGACAAGGTCTAGCTGATAAAGGGAAGCAGCTGATGTAATCTTTCTGGATTACAGGAAAGCTTTCAATACAGTCTGTCACACTCCTCTTCTGGACCAACTCTCCAGCACACAGCTGGATAAACACCCCATGGGATGGGTGAGGAACTGGCTCATGGGTTGGGCACAAAGGGTTGTGGTGAATGGGATTACATCAGGCTGCCACTGGTCACTAGGGAGTTCCACAGGGCTCCAGCTTCGGCCCAGAGCTCTTCAATACCTTCACAAACTACTTGGACACAGGATTTGAAGGACTGTTGAGCTAGTTTGGAGATGATACAGAACTGGGAGGAGCTGTTGACTCCCTTGAAGGCAGAGAGACCTCCTCCTTTCTGTCTTTCTGAAATCCCTGTTCACAAGAGCCACTGGACAACTGCTTAAGTATCTGAAGTAAATCAGTTCATTACAAAATTATTACCATATAAACTGAGTTTACTTGGCCCTTGGTAACATCTCATTCATTATCAATTCCCAGATTTTTCAATGGTTGCTGTGGTTATACTTAAATTATACTTATTGTGTTGTTAAATTCAAAAGATCATGCTAACAGCCAGCCAAGAAGCTACAGAATTAGGACTACCTCATGCAAGATGTTATATCCTCAAGAGTTACTAGTATCCCACATTTTCCCCTGCTCAGCAGACAGATGTTAATGAGTAAATAACATTCACACAGAAAACAGGCAAGTGATTACTATTTCTCCCTCCAACAACTAGAAACTCAATACATTTAACATGTTCCATATAGGGAAAACACTGATTATTTTTCCCCCGTACCACAAGGTGTTCAGGTTGCCAAGGCAGAATTATTTCCAACAACAGAAGACTTTCTATAAAGCATTAAGGTAACTAAATTTTATTACTCCACTCCTTTTCTCTATCAGCACTAAATATCAGCAGTAGAAAAGGGAAGACCATGGATTGTGTTCCTGTATAGTTTTCCCACCTGGTTGAGGTAATGATATTCCTCTGGCTGCTTCAGATGAAATGCTGATCTCTCCTCCTCGGTTGCTCCCGCCAGGAGGTAATAAAATACATGGTAGTTCCTGGTGACAAATAATATAAAGAAAAAAAAGATGTTAGACTTGAAAACAAACAGAGCATTAAGCAGAGAGGAGCATGGAATTCTCATGGCCTGATCTTCCAGCTTCCAAACCTAGAGTTGACACTGTTTAGAAATGGCCCATACCCACCATGCAGTGATGTACAAGGCTATGTTACATCATGGAGGACAAGATGCTTCTTTTCCATCTGAGGACATCCACTGCCCTAGAATATAGTGATAAAATTCCTGGCAGGGATCATCATGTTTTCCTTCAGAATCATGTGCAATGCCTACATATTTCACAGAATCACTTAGGTTGGAAAAGACCTCCAAGATCATTGAGTCTAACCTGTGACCCATCACCACCTTCTCAACTAGACCAGAGCACTGAGTGCCATGTCCAGTCGTTTCTTGAACACCTCCAGGGGTGGTGATTCCACCACCTCCCTGGACAGCCCCTTCCAATGCCTGACCACCCTCTCCATGAAGAAATTATTTCTGATGTCCAGCCTGAACCTCCTCTGGTGCAGCTTGAGGCTATTTCCTCTTGTCCTGTTGCTTGTTCCCTGGGAGCTGAACCTGACCCCACCTGCCTTTATTAGAATCAAACCAACATATTCCCTTGCAATGCAGAAATTATTATTTTCAATACCTTATTACCATTAAAAAGGCAACGACTTTGCTGTTGCAGTTCCGTAAGACACAACTGAAACATCTTCAATTTTTACAGCTACTGCAGTACTCAAAACACTTTACTATTCCTCATACTAAACCCACCCCAAGGGACATTCATCTGTTCTCCTTCCACACAACTCCAACACAGAGTAATGCTATTTCTTCCTAAAATTAAAACTTTGCTTTTATGTTGGATGGTTTCCAAGAGAATCCAAGTTTAATCATCTTGCAACACCCACGAGGACATTTGTCAAGGCTGTAGATGCCTTTAACTCCAGGATCAGCCCTAGAGCACTCGAGAAAACTTCTCGCACAACATCTGTCTCCAAAGGGAAACACAGAAGTGCCAAGAGTTGAAAGACAACTAGAGGCAGCAAAATTATTTAAACTTGGAGTAATAATTACTGAGAGAGGAAAGGAATATGTAATAAATAATATGCTGCAATTAGGAAAGAACAATTCACATGAAGTGGTTGTCTGTATAACTGTAGCTTTTTCTAGAGGCTTCAGTGTGTTAAGAACTGTAAAACAGACCTAAAATACCAACTTCCCTCTCAAGATTAGGTATTAAATAGCTCACTAGTTGCACAGGAAAACAAATGGTACTTAATAATCCATTTGTCATGAACCATAAAGACAATGAAAATATGAAAATACTCGAGTGGAAGGTTCTCTGCCCACAGCAGGGGCTTGGGAGGAGATGGTCTTTAAGGTCCCTTCCAACCCAAACCATCCTGTGATGCCATGACAAGTCAATAAACTAATGGAGGTGATTCCCTCTGGGCAACTCATTTCTCCCTAACCCCCAAAATACAAAGCCATAAACATAAAATGCATCATTTAACTTTACAGCAGTTAGGAGTGTGAAAATCCTGATCCCCTGTGCCAGCTCAGCTGGGTTTAAGCTCTCTGTGCCACGTAGAGAAGTCCAATCCAACCCTGTAGGCAACACAGAGGCACCTACCTCTCATTGTGCTCCTGATAGACCAGTCGGGACTTCTCCAGGAGGTACTTCTCAACATAAGCTCTGCAAGGGAAAGATAAAAGTGTTATTCATTGACCTGACACTCAACTTAAACGAACGCAGCTTTACCAGGGGCTTCAGCCTTCCTACACTCACAAAGAAGTTTCAGCCTTGTTTCACTTAGTTATATAAATTTCTTCCTAGGCAGAACAAGCCCAATATTATGTTTGGCTTTTGAGGTTTTCTTGGTTTGATACGAAGCCAACACTAACTTGGATATGAAAAACATGATCTCAGATGCATTTGCCTATGGGCAGGGAGCAGAGGGGGAAATTCTGACAGCAAGGAAGACTCTCAGATCCCTATTTCATCCAAAGCCAGCGAAATCAAATCGCCTGCAGCCCAAGAGTTGTGCACACAAGAAACCTATCTGGGTGCAAAAGTTTGCAAGATGAGATTTAGCTGCAGAATCTCCATTCCCTCTTGTGGAAAAGCCACTTCTCACCAAAAATTTCGGTTATTAACTTGTGGCTACAGTTAAAAAAACCCAAACAATTGCGAAAGCTCCTTATTGCAGTTTACATTTCCTCCTAAAAGCCTCCACAACAAACATGTTCCATTTACATACTAAATACTTTTTGCAAGCTTGTCGACCTAAACTCAGCTTCGACAGGTTTTTTTCTTCCAAACAATGCTAACCAGTAAGATAGAACTCCAAGTTCTGAATCCCTAAGTGGCAATTCAGATGATGTAGCTGTGCTTTTCCAGCTCCAGTTGCCCAGTGACGTGGCACAGACAGTGGCAGCCACCTCTGAATGGGGACACCTACACACCTTGGGCATGGCAGGACAAGGAGGTGCCTCTACACTTGATGCTCTGCCACAGATGAGGAAACCAAACCAATTTATGACTTGCAACACAGTCATTTTCCCTTCCTTCCACTAAGAAGTAAAGTACAAAACATTTGGATGTGCTGCAGAGGTCTTGTGACAACTCTTATGGTAACTCTTGGGAGAGGCTACTGCAAGAGGCATATCCAACTCCCCATGGGATGATCTTGCTGGACAGGAGGAATAAAGACAGAGAGGAAAGCTGTGTTATTCCTCTGTATGACAAGGAACAGAGAGGTTTATTTTTGTTCATTCCCTGTGAGGGAGCTGAAAGTTTATGGATATTCCTCACTGAAGGTTGGCATTTTTTTACATCCCCTTTCTAACCTGAACCCAAGTTTTCCTTCCCAAGCCACACCATGAATTCACGCAGGGTTGGTGAACACAAGAGTGAGAAACACTAAGCATCCCAGATCCCACTGGTGGGATCCCACTGGATAACAGCTCAGACACTGCTGTACAACCTGCACCATCTCCACAAGCCCTTGGCATTCATCCCTTCCCCCTGTGATATATTAGAATCCACCCAAAAAAATCACCCTCATGCAATAATTCAGGTTAGAAAGGTCTAGATCTCACCAGGACCAAACCACCATTAAAATCCAGGCAAATTTTCACATCTTATTTTTTTAGATTTTACATTCTTTAAATGCCCCAGGGAGGGGCAGTCACCATTCCTGGAGGAGTTCAAGGAACGACTGGATGTTGCACTCAGTGCTCTGGTCTAGCTGACAAGGTGGAGATCACTCAACAGTTGGACTCAATGATTTCAGAGGTCTTTTCCAACCTAAATGATTCTGTGAAACCTGAAACTGTTCTCAAATACGTATATTTTACATAAGCATATGTCTTTCATACACAAACACCCCCATGCAAAACCCTGAGCTCGGGGTGGCTGAAAGCTCTGTCTCATGGTGTCTGTGATCCACCTCATCCTCCACACACATTCACCACCCCACAGCACATTGCTGCTTTTAAATAAAATGTCTCCAATCTGGCTCTGCTGCAATTTTATGGAGCGTGTCAGATGTTGAGGCTTTTGATCACCCTGTGGACTGAAGAGGCTGCAGAGCCTTTCTGCCTCCAGAACTGGCTTATCACCGAGGACAGCAGAAATTCATGAGGCCTCATGGGAACACACTTAACTGCATCACTTCTCCACCGATCTGAGAGACACCTTCAAAGACTTCAGTCCAGGGGTGGGGTTGGCTGCTGCTAAATCTCCTGGCTGTTCTACCTCTTAGGCTGAAATTCACGTCAAGTTTTGGGTGATTACATTCAGAGGAGTTGTAAGCAAATACCCAACTGCTATTTTCAACCTCAGAAAAGAGCAAAATTCTGACTTGGGGCTGCAAATTATAGTTTCATTAAGAAAGCAAATGATATGCAGAATACAAGATGATAATTGATTTAGGTTGTGCTTAAAATCTAGGCTAAGTTGGGAAAAAATCATCTTTCTATGGGTAAAAAAATGTGGCCTTATATGCCAGGAAGAGCTCATTTGTTTTACTAAACATGTTTTATTTTCACTAAGGAGCACTGCAAGCTTACAGCAGTCACATCACACCATGCAACCAAAGACCAAGAAAGCTCATTTCTTAAAAAGGAGAGAAAATTCCTCTTATTTTATGAACTAGAATACAGGAATATAAAGCTATTTGCACCTATCTGCCAAGTAAAAATAGAGGCCACGACCACAGCGCTGACACATCATGCCAAGATAATATATAGTTAAGCATTTGCTGGATTCTTGCTATTCTGTATTCCAGAAGGTACTGAAAAAATGAGGTTTATCTTTTTAAGAGAACAGTGCACCAGAATTAAAGGAGGGGAAAAAAAAGAACATCAGATTTGACGTAGGACGCTAAAGCAGCAGGAAGGTACACAGAGTACCCAAGCTCATTTGAAAAATTAATGGAAGCTCTTTGTGGGATACTGTTCTGCTGGAAAATAAGAAAGGAAAAAAAATTTGAAAGCAATTCTCTAAAATAACAGTGAAGTCCCAGCAAGAGATCTCTTAGCTAGCTGCAGAAATTATACAGCCCCAGGAATGCTGCTTCTACTCTTTGTTTCTCCCACTGAGTTAATTAACCTGCACAAAAACCAGAGTTAACGGAGCCCTGCTCATTTAGAGCTAGCTCGAGTCACTTGGTGATGACCTGACGCTGTGCAAATTGGCTAAAGCCAAAGTGAAAACCAGGCCTAGGTAGTTCCACCCCTGCTATGGGCAGGGACACCTTCCACTAGCCCAGGCTGCTCCAAGCCCTGTCCAGCCTGGCTTGGAACACTTCCAGGGATGGAGCAGCCACAGCTTCTCTGGGCAACCTGTGCCAGTGCCTCACCACCCTCACAGGGAATGACTGACTCCAGCAGCTCCACATCCTTCTGCTGTTGGTGCCCCAGAGCTGGAGGCAGCACAGCAGGTGAGGTCTCACCTGAGCAGAGCTCATCTCAAGTTCTGCCAGGGGAGGGTTAGGTTGGATATTAGGAAGAGATTTTTTACAGAGAGAGTGCTCAGGCATTGGAATGTGCTGCCCAGGGAGGTGGTGGATTCACCATCCCTGGAGGTTTTTAAGATGAGACTGGATGTGGCACTTAGTGCCATGGTCTAGTAACTATGGTAGGATTGGACTCGATGATCTTGGAGGTCTTTTCCAACCTGGTTGATTCCATGATTCTATGTACTCCCTATGGGGTCCTCTTCAGCCCCAACTGGCACTTACCCCCGCACGGTGCCTGTCTCCTGATAGTTCACTTGGATAAACTTGCCGAAGCGACTGGAGTTGTTGTTATGAGCTGTTTTGGCATTCCCAAAAGCCTGTGAAAAGACAGAGATGCCATGATTACACTGGAAAAGCCACTGCCTTGTCATATTTCCATGCACATCACTAACAACTTGGGGGATTTTCCTATCATTGTGGAATTAATAAAAAGGAGATGGGGAGAGCTAATGGAATGAGCTACAGAATAATACCCTGAGCTTCTGGGGACCATATTCCAGTTTGGTATTCATAAAGAGCAGCTAAACACTGTTTAAAAATCAAGTGTTGCACAAGAGAGATTTAATATCTGAAGTTATTACAGTCTGTATTAAGGCTGTGCTTTATACATTTAAATAAATATAAAAGTACACTGCTCCAACAGGACTCGACGTTTTAATGAGCTAGAGGAAGCTGCTTTTTAATTATATATGGAATTAGGGGGAAAAAATGCTTTGAAGGCTACTCAGATGTTAAACGATGCCACATAGAGCACCAGCAGATCCCAGAGCACTTGGGCACTTCAGACACCCTTGTTTCCATTTGCTGCTGTTGCTGTTCCAAAAGCAAAATGTTTTCAAGCCTTTATTCTGCAAAGCTTTTATTCCCAGCCTGCCTTACCCTACTACAGAGAGTCATTTATTGCCAGTTCAAAGAAATCTCTGAACTGAAACTGCTATTTTCACTCATGCCTGAATCACCTTAATAATCCTCTGGACCACAGTAAGGGAATCTGTTACATCACCAGGTTCAATTAATGTTTTGTTTATTAAACCACTTTTCATCATCATTCACCTTTTTTATTTTCTTCTTATCTACATGAAATTTATTTAGGGCAATTAGAATTTCTAAGATCATTTCTAAGTGTTGTCTGCGTATGGACATTTTGTGCCGAAGCTTAACATCAGAGCCCAGCTCCCGATAGATTTATTCCCTACTCAGCTGTTTATTAGAAAAGATTAAAAGGGCTTTACATCTCTAATCTGAAGATTTTCAAATGACCTTCGCAGATTTAACTTCGCAACTAAAAGCAAAATAGAAAGGCCCAAAGAAATGAGACCCTGGCGAAAGGGCACTCGACACCTCCGATCCCTGCGGGATGTGTGAGCTCACGGTCACGTCCCTCTTCCCAGGCTGATTTATTTTGGAATCTCATTAGATTCAATGATTTAAGAACCAAGGAGGTTTGCTCACAGAATAGGGATGTGATTTCCCCTCTATTTGAATACAGGGATATGTTTCAACTCAAGCTGTTGCATATGAATTTGTTTTTAGTTGACTAAAACAAGTTCTGGGATAGCCAAAACCTGCCGAGCAAGCAGATTATCCTGGAGAGATGATTTCAGAGCCACAGCTCAGGAATGCTTCCCTGCAGAGGATTCACATCATTTCAGGCTGCTCACACTTGATTCCTGCCCCTTCCCCACAAAAATCCTCCCTGCATCCAGCATCCCTCCCCTACCCACCCTCCAGAGGATGACACACTGCCCATCTCTCCACTCTCCTGGAGATGAAAATCCAGCCATCCTCTCTCCAAAAATAGCCAATTTGGTATGAAAAGACAGGATGCTACTTAACATTTCCAAAAGATTTACCTGTCCTCCAGGTATCTCAGCGAGCAGAGACACAGCAAGAAGCTTACAAGCAGAATATGTAGATATTCAAGACGAGCTAGTGCATCATTTTGCATTTAGAAACTGGTTAAATTACATTCGTTAGGTTTCAAGGATTTCCCTGCAATAGGATTGTCCAGAATCTAAGATGACATGTTAAGGCAGTAAGATAAATTTTCCCCACACCTCATTAAGGTTGCTTGAGAACCAAGGAGCCAGCAGCAAACAGACCAAACAGGAGGCAGCACTAATTTCTATCATTTCACCTGAGACCCACCTGGAATACTGCACACAGTTCTGGTGCCCTCAACACAAGGAGGACACAGAACTGTTGGAGCAGGTCCAGAGGAGGCCACAAAGTTGCTAAGAGCACTGGAGCATCTCCACTATGAGGACAGGCTGAGGGAGTTGGGGCTGTTCAGCCTGGAGAAGAGAAGGTTGTGTGGAGACCTCAGAGC